AAAGAATTGCTTAACGATCGACTGGTCGTAGGATATAGTGCTACCAATAATCATTAAAGCTTTTTTCTCTGAGGTGCAAACTTCTCTTCTCTCTCTCTCTTTGTAGAGTATTCGGGAAGACCAACCAAGCAAAACCACAAAAACAAATCCAAAGACAGCCAAAAACCGATGGTTAAACCAATTAGCATGTTCTTGTTTGGTTTTCGTTCTGAAGGGGGCGGTGGGGGGTGCCGTAGAGGGGAGAGCGCATCTTTAAACACACAGAGTGTGTCCCACTCACACTCACACCTACACTTGCAAAGGTGTTTGCTCTGTACGGAACTTTGGCCGCGCGGCACCCTCGGCGCCCACCAGCGTCGCTTCGTCGTCGCGTCGTCGTCGTCGTCGTCGTTCTTCGCTGCAGCTGCTTTACCGGTTGCCGCTTAACCGATTCACCCTTTTACTCTCCCTCTCTCTCTCTCTCTGGCTCTTTAATTTGTAAGCTACCTGCTGCATCTGGCGGAACTTTAGCAGGCGAGTGAATGAGAGATTGGTGAGCTGTGGAGAGCGGGAGGGAGAGCTGAAAATTGCTACATTTTTTATTACACTCGAAAAAGCAGGGTATTGGCGTGCGTGAAAAGGGGTATATCAGGCAATGGGACAGGGCTGGGAGTGGGTTACTCCACAGAGAATGGTACTCTAATCTTCCACAGATAAAAGCTGTATTAAAGTGTTCAAAAAGTATTCCCATGCAATGCGGTGGACCCTTGCTCTTCCTTCTTTAATCATTCTCGAATGAAAGGCTCCACTTTCAACGTTTACGTGTGACTGGCAGCCTGAAAAACAGCTGTTGGATGTTTAATGGGATACTTAATTGTATGGTAAATCGATTCCTGATTCATTTTACTTGTATATTCATACTCCTCCTCATTGGAGGAGTTACTTCTTTGATACGAAGCCATTTACTTATGGAACTTTTTTGCAGCGAATCAACAGCTTACTTGTCGTTGATTAAATGACAGCCAGTGTGCAGTGTAGGGTACTCCCTGGGTCGACTCTGGCCCCCTCCACGCTTACACCTTAACCTGTTTTTGCGCCACACACTCGATTCCACACTCCATTCGGTTGTGTTTCCAACAATCCAGCTACCAATTTGCATATCTTTATGGCGGCCTCTGATGTGCTGTTTGACATTGAGGGGAAGCTGCCATCATAACATAACCCTAGACGATGCGATCCCATCTCCGAACTCATCATTCGATGCGATCCAGTCACTGCAAGGCCAGGCCACAGCCACATGCCACATGCCACACCACCCGCTGCATGGCTGGACCACGCCCCGCTCGGCGGCAGTGGGCGGCCGTGTCATGCGATTTTCTCCAATTTTGACACATTTACACATTTCGTTTTCCCATTCTGTGCCTCTCGACGATGGGGTTTTCACATGCCGCCTGCTTTCCACCGAGCATTTCACCATTTCCCCATTTCCCACTGTTGCTGCCACTGCCACCGCTGCTGGTGTTGCATGCCTCCCATTCTGGGCCCTCCTCCTCGCTTGTGCTTTGTGGTCGTCTGGTCGGTTATTATTTTGTTATTCAAGCGTACCACGGCCCCCCTTCCCCCGCTTTCCCCCCAACCACTCGGTACATGAGCAAAAAAGAAAGAAAAAAAAGAGAATAAATGGTAAAAAGGGGGCTGAAAGGGGGAATGGAAAAAGAGTTTGAAAACAAAAACCGCATTAAAGGTTCATTTGGGGGCTGCCTTGTCTGTCGCGACAGTCGCTTTGTTTGCCTTTTGCTAGCTTAAACCTTAACTGGAAATACGGTCATACGAGAAGACTGGAACACCGGAACACTGGAACACTGGAAGACGAAGACTGGCGGAAGGGTTGGTGGAAAAGGCCTGGCCTAGATACAAATGGGCAATCGCTAGAGATGGGAGCGTGTCACGAGGGAGAACGAAGAGAGGGGTAGTACCACTAAAAGAAGGATGAAAGTGGAGGAGGTATCAAGTAGAAGAAGGGTAAGGTGGAAGACGCGGAGGAACGGATAGAAGGTTGCAAGTGAAGGAAGTTCTTATGAATGGAAGATTTATCTTTATCTTAACCCCAGATATACCCCAGATATACCCCAGATATACCCCAGGTATACCCCAGGTATACCCCAGATATGCCCCACCCCAATGGATTTGCTGTAGCTGCTCAAAAAAGTACCTTTCGATGCTTGCAATATGGGAATATTTACTTAAACCCGCAGAACCAGTGGCTAAAGTGTACTTTTTCCAGCTGTTCCTTCAAATATATTGCAAAAATCGAAGAATCATTGAAATAATCAAGATAATCGCATCTTGGATGTATTCCTTTGGGAAGGATTCAAGCAGGACTCTTAATTGATCATCTGAGAGTATTTATGTACTGGGAACACCAGTTTCCCTAACCGATTGGCACTCGAAGCCCAGAACCCAATGTTCATGGAAAAATTAAGCATTGAGGAGAGATTTTTGTGGTGGAAAATGGCATTCAAAAATGTGTATTCCACTAATCAAATTAATTGAGTTCAAGTTTATCCATTCGTCATTGAACTCTGTGGTTCCCTTAATTTTGACGAATAAATTATTATTACGGAGATCAAAAGTAGCATTTGTACAGAAAAATGTACTGACTGAATGGTTCATTAAAGTCGTGTAAATATTAATGGATGAGTCGTTTGTCGTGGAATATTTCGCCTCTAAAACCTCCTTAAACTTTGTCCAAAGGATTAGCATACGCTCTCTCCCTTCGCTTCGCAAAGTTCTCTGTTAATCCAGTCCCTACCTAGTGGGTTTATCCGCAGTCTTTTAGTGGCCCCTCTGTGCCCCTGTTGCCCCCTCCCTGCCCCTGCCGCTCCGTTGCTCCGTCGCACTTTTGCCACTTCATCGTCGGATCGGACGGATCTTTGTGGCGGGAACTGGAACTGGAAAATAAAGTGAAATTATTATGATTCAGTATTTGATTGGCAGCCACTTGAGCCCCTGCTCTCCTCCTCTCTCCCCTCCCTCCCTCCCTCTGCCACATTCGGTGGCGACACTAAAAGAAATGTCGAGAGCTGCCCGATGTCGAAACGAGCGTGTAAAATGGAAAGCATTTCGAGTCGCTCTTAATGCCATTAAGCGGCTGTCGGAACACACACAACGCGTCGCACAGCCCCATTAAGTGTTGGCTAACACTCTCTTCGTGGCCTCCTCTCGGCCAAACACAGTGACAGTTCTTCCCATTCATCCACATATCATGGAAGAGACCAATCGTACTCGCACTCGTACAGCCCCCCACCCCTTGACCCATTTACCCGCAAAGTGTTTGAGGATTGCTCTCTGGAAGCAAAGAACATCACGTACTCGAAGTATTTATCATTTTCTTGGGTTCTTTATAGACTTTTTCTTTAGTCTTTTTTCCGATTATTGTTTCCTCCATCGACTAAGCCAATAAGCGGTTCCAATACCCATTACTCGTAGAGGAGTGCAAACAGGGGTATCCCAAGTGCGTGTCAATGTTTGTAAGAGCCAGAAGGAAGCGTTTCCGTTCCCATAAACCCCAAACGCAGCTTGTTTCACTCTCTTTTCCTGTCTTTTTCCCAGTGTGGCTTAGCAGTGTAGGAGGATATCTTGTTATTGATTCATTGGTCGTGTGTGGGGGGTTTATTTGTCGAGTGTGGGATGCTCTGGGAGTTTGTATCTGTTTTGAGGATACCCTATCCCTCTTCCTTGCTTCCTGGGGGTCTTTTCAGCTGGATAGGGTATCCCCCATTGCATATCCACAAGATACAGAGATACAGATACTGAGATACAGACAGAACTGAGTCAATGGTGCGATTGCGGGGGCAGCCACCTCCTCCAAAGCCAAATAAGTCGAACAATGGCTCTCGTGGAGATGGAGGGGTGGAGGGGGAAGGGGGCTCACATATATAGTTTATAATGTTTGCTTTTATTGTTCCACACTCATGAAAATGTCAGTCATGGTCGTCGCGTTGCTTTCAATACTGCCCATGGATCTCTGCGGACGCCGGAGAGTGAGTCATGACGCATCGGATTTTGGCTCCGTCTCTGGCTTTTGGAATATTTATTTGGGATGCCGAATGGCTCTGACATTGTGGCATCTCTGTTTTGGGATGCGGATGTGGATGTGTGCCTCCCATCGGGGGATTGTAAAGATTAATCTAGTGGGGGGAAAAATGGAAAACTTTGTAGTGGAAACAAACATATTTGCGGCTGTGTTTACATTTCAATTTAGTGGATTGAAAAGGCTATGCAAAGTAATTAAGGAACATGGATGGATGTTCGCTGGTGATCCCAGGAATGGAGTTTTCAGAGACTCCTTCCAAGATTACCTTCTAGGCATAGGATAGATGAAGGAATGGACTTGTTTTCATAATTATCCATTCACTGGAGACACATTTTTGATGCAGACAACAGCTCCACATACAGCAGCTCTCCCGACAGATCATAAATCCCATCCTATCCGAAGATCTATGCCCTTTTATGGTGCGTGAATTATCGAGACAAGACAGCACACAATTGTGGCCCAGATTGTTTGATGGATGGATGAATGGATGGTCGTATGGCTGGGTGTTTGGGGGAGGGGAATGGATGGGGCTAGACGATCCATGATTTGTCAGAAATTGTCATTCCCCAGTCGCACTGTAGAAGGCGACGCGTCATGTAACTCTTACTTTATTCGTGTGCTTTTTGTTGTACCGCCGCGTGTGCCACAGCAAAAGCAAAAACAAAAGCAGAAGCACGTTGGAGGAGGGAAAGGCAAAAGACAAATGTCACGTTTCGGAGGGGAGGGGAGAGGAGCGGAGCGGGGAGGTTTGTGGAGCAGTGGGTTAAGTGTTGCGCAATCCGAGACGATTGCACAAATATTTGCACACGTCATGCGCCATCCATCCATCCAATAATTGGGTAACACCAGCCCCATTCCGGGGTCCTGTGTCCCGTCTGTCCTTCGGCCATTACTCATCCTTGGGTTTCCCTCTTTCTCGTTGCAGTTCGGGCGGTCGTCGAGTACGAGTACGCGGCCAAGGAGCAGGACGAGCTGGATCTCCGCAAAGGTGCCATCATCCATCACATCCAGCAGATGCCCGGCGGCTGGTGGATGGGCACCCTCAAGGCCACCGGCAAGACGGGCATGTTTCCGGACAACTTTGTGCGCGTCCTCGACACCAACGGCAGCACCAATGGCAACGGCGAGCACATCGACGATGGCACAGCCGTCCAGCTGAGGTGGGTTCTGCGGTTACTCGATACCCTAGCACAAAAGGGGATGTCTAGATTGTAAGAAAATAGTGTATATGTATAGCCTTCCCTGAAGACCAGGCAGATTTGGTTAATTTTTGTGTATTTCTAAGTCTTTTTGTGCCTTAAAAACGGAGAATATTTGTAATTGTTTGTGTAATATTAAGAATATATCTTTGAATATAAATAAACAAGAGTATTAAGACATTATCTGTAGATCTAGCAAACTATATGATTATCGTAGAATTATTAGTGTCAAAAAAGGCATTTATTTGTGTTAATATCTCGTATTCTTGATGTAAATTTCTACCTATATATCCCATAAGGTATTATATGAAGCATTGGACTAACTTGTGTGGTATCGACTCTTGGAAGAACTAGCTACATCGATATACAGCTCACCGATGACCTAAACATATCTTCCCAAAAAAAATAATGATAAAATTACGAGGTGCATATAGAATCTACGACAGCGGTATATACATATATCACGATAACACGTCAATAACTTATCGATAAAAACCAAAGAACTTGTCGATAACTTATCAATAACCTATCGAAAAGAATTAGAGGCGTTCTATGAGTAAATTTAAGTTTAAATGCATCTAATCTATCGTATTTCAACCCATTCCCACTAGGATCTTGTGGGTTAGAAATTGCTTTCAATATCAAAAATTCTTAAAAATTATATGTACATCTATAGATATTCTTAGAATCATATATTAAGCACAATTCAACAGATCTAACCAATACCAGCTACATAAAATAGATATAACCCCTAGTATAACAGCAAAAAATAGTTCTAAAAGTACAGTCGACCTTCCACATCGCGAATCCCAAGAGGAATTCGTAATATAGAATCCATTTTTGCAGAATCAAGCATTGCAGTGTGCAGTGCAGTGAAATATATTTGGTATAAAAATTCGTTGTAGAGAAGTTCGACTGTATTTCCCGAGAATATCTCTAAGTAAAGGGTATCTTATAGTCTGTGTATCGTACCTCTTAAGCGCCCCGATATGACGCAATTTCAGTTCAATTGTTGACCAGCAAAAACACAACATTTACATTCTCTCTCTCTGCTCTCTCTCGCCCTCTCAGGGACAAATCAGAGACATCGAATCGGCGCGTTAAAGTCGTCTACAGCTACACACAAGTGAACGACGACGAGCTGACGCTGACGATGGGTGATGTCATTGAGTTCTTAGGGGAGGTACGTACCGCCACCCCACACTCGCGGCCGAAGGGGGGTGCCACCCCACCCCACCCGCCCCCCGCTTAACCTCTTGGCCAATAAAAATTGAAATTTCACTCTGTTCTCTCTCTGGTTTGCTCCCATTCAGGTCGAGGAAGGCTGGTGGCGCGGACGTCTGCGCAGCAAAGTCGGCGTCTTCCCGTCGAACTTTGTGAGACTTATCGAGCCGTCGCCCATACTGGCCTCCAAGCGTCCGCCGACGATTGGTGCCACGGTGAACACTTCATCGCTGACTGCCAAGGCGGCGAATGTGGCAGAAGCGGCATCAGCGGCGGCATCAGCAGCGGCATCAGCGGCGGCCCCAACAACGAAGCAAACGACCAAGAGCAGAGGAGCACCGGCCACAGTTTCAGCTCCCGCTCCCGCTCCAGCAGCTGCCCCAATCACAGTCCCACCCCCAGCTGCAGCTGCAGCTGCAGCTGCAGCCCCTCCAGTCTCGGATCCCGCACCCATGCTGCCGCCGAAGCCGTCGCGGCTCTGCCGCGTCGAGTTCCCCTACGCCCCGATGAACGAGGACGAGCTGGAGCTCAAGGTGGACGACATCATCACGGTCATAAGCATGGAGCTGCCGGACAAGGGCTGGTGGAAGGGCGAGATCCACGGCAAGGTCGGCGTCTTCCCGGACAACTTTGTCAAGATGCTGGAAGGTGAGTGTTTCCCCCCTCCCCTCCCCCAGAGGATTCCACTGGATGGATTTCCCCCATCGCCATCTCTCTGTCGCTCATCAGGCCATTGCCTTTCGCTCCGTTTTGATTTCGGTCTGTCAACTGTTGTCATCTCGTCTCCTCCCATCAATGCATCTGCACCCCATACCCCCCCCCCCCCCCCACACTCTCTTTTAATTGGAGGCAATTTTTCCAACGCATCGGCCGTAAAACCCCCGTACGGCGACGGCGGCGACGACGACGATCGACGTCGTTAGGCCTCGAAAATTGATGTCGTGACGTAGCCATCATCATTGTGCCTGGATAAAAGTCAATAAACGTTTGTTTGGTAATTGAATTAATTAAGAGAAAAGCCTCCTCAGACACAGACACACACAGGGAGTCCCGCTCCCGGTTGCAGATGGCATCCCCCTACTCCTCATCCTCCTCCTCCCCGCCGCCGTCTCAAGATCGTAAATGTTTATCGCTTGTGCAAAATTTTCAAACTGCTTTCGATGGCCCATCCACTTACGCCTTGGAATTGATTAGGATTTTGTTACTCAAATGTTACTCATGTTTTTATATGGGAATCTGTGGCTTAATTGGCTCTAAGCAGGAATGGGGGAAGCCCCGGTTAGTCTCTGGATTTCCATTAGTCAAAGCACAGATCGTTGGCTGTAGGAAGGCTGGATAGTGGATGGATCTATAAAGAATACCAGTTGATGTTCCTTTACCCATTACTCCAAAGCATGAACTTCCACAAAGAGCTGGAGAATGAATTATAGACGTCTTTGGATGTCATATCACCCGAAATCCATTCAAATTGTACTCCAAACTATTGCTGCTCTTCATTTAAGAGGAATATGCAGACTTTGATCTGGATATAGTACGATTTTTAGGCGTATTCCACTTATGAGTATGTAGATTCTTTTCCCCTTCTCCATCTCTATGGAAATAATGATTCCAAATCAGGATTCCTCAATAATAATAAATCCTATGATTCGATTAAACTCTGGTGCCTACCTTTCTTCCTGCCTTAAAAGTGTTCCGAAATCCATCTGTTTGCAAGGAGATTCCTTGATGTGGTAATATATCTTCCAAGCTATACCTTTTATAGAGATTTTGTTCTGTATTTGGACATACATGTACATACCTTTTATCCCAAGCAAACTTCCTAGAATCCATTCATAAAACAGCAGCAGATTACAACCCGTTTAAAGCTATTTTCGGTATAGTTTTTCCCCAAAAAATATGTTCTCCTGAGATGTCTTTATAGATATATTACTACAAATTACAGATAAGCACTCTCAGAACAAGATACTCGTACAATAGGCCTCCCCAAGCTCCCCCCGAAGCCAAAACACCCTAAAGATATGACAGCTGAACAGTAGCCATAGGACAGTAGCCCCAAAGATAACGATGTAGATAGCCCCCTCTTGGGATCCACAGAAAGTATCTCTTTCCCCGTCCCCCCACCATCTGCGCTGGCACATCATCGCACACTTCACTTTCCAAACAAATCACATTACATTGCCACTCGACAATCCCTCAATCCTTCAATCTTTTAGCCATTTTCATGTTCGTTTTTCCCTCCTCCTTCCTTCCTTCAAAAATGAAAACTGTTTTGAGTATGAGTTTTTATGACTTGCATTTCGTTTGAAGACTTTTTTATTGGACATTTGTTTGGTTTTCCTTCTTCTCTTTCTATCTTTCTCTATTTATCGTATATCCATCTCTCTTTCTTATGACTCCAATGTCGTTTGGGGTTTCTCTGTGTAATTTTTCCTCAATACTTTTCTTTTTCCTTTACTCTACTCTACTCCTCTTCTTCTTCTTCTAATCCTCCTTCTACTTCTTCCACGATTTTGCCCACAATTTTTGAACCACACGAACCACACTGAAACCACTGAAAACAACACTTAAACTGAATTGTGCAACACTGAACTGTGCAACACTAACCTGTGCACTGTGCAACACTGAACCGTGAACTGTGCAGCTCCTCCCATGCCACCGCCACCGCCGCCGCGCCCCCGTGCCCGACCCCGAGCTGGCGCTGGCGCTGGAGGCTACTCGGACCGTGCCCCACCGCAGACGCAGCGCGGCGGCTCTTTCGAGTTCTTGGGCGCGCGTATGGCCAGCTTTATCACCACGATTTGTATGTAAACGAGTTTTTCCAGTAGGCAGAGTTGCCCCAGCACCCCAGCCCACCCCATCTCCCCCTCTCCCCCTCGAGTGGTGTGCAGAGTTTTACGTTTTCTTCTGTTTTCCTGCTGTAGTATTATCTTTTCTTTCGTTTATATTTATTTTTCCTTTCTCTCCGGCCTCCATCCTTGGGGCGCTTTTCGTATGAAATGGAAAACTGCTTGACTCTGCCTCACCGACCCGCCCCCCCCCCCCCCCCATGCCTTAGTTTTCGTAGACCGCTTTTCCTTCGCTCATAATTTCTTTGATTTATATTTCTCTTGTGCGGCATACACTTTCCTTTTGGGGGAGTATGCCTGGGGCTTTGTTTTTGTGTGTCACTGTCACAAATTTTCACAAGTAAATCCCCAATCGATCGATACGCATCCCAATCCGATCGTTATGAGCTACGTCCAGACCCTGGTGGACATGGGCTTCCGCCGGGAGCGAGTGGAGTTCGCGCTGCAGGTGACCGGCAGCGAGGGTGTGGAGCCGGCGATGGAGTGGCTGCTGGCCCATCTTGACGAGGAGGTTCCGTCCGCAGGAGAGCGTAGAGCCGCAGGGGAAGGGGCGGCACCCTCAGCCAGTGGCAGCCAGGAGGACCCGGCACCCAGCAGCAGCGGCGGGGGCGGGGGCGGAGCCGGCCCTGGGGAGAACTCTGGCGAATCGGCGGTGGCCAAGTCGGTGAAGTGCGACGACTGCGGCAAGGTGCTCAAGGATCACTTGGAAGTCGAATACCACGCTGCCAAGACCGGCCACAGCAACTTTTCGGAGTCCGCGGTGGAGAAGAAGCCCCTCAGCGACGAGGAGAAGGCGGCCCAGATGGCCGTCATCGCGGAGAAGCTCAAGCAGAAGCGCGTCGAGCGGGAGGAGCGTGAGAAGGTGGACGCCCTGGAGCACGAGAGGAACCGCATCCGGCAGGGCAAGGAAATGGCCGAGGCCAAGCGTCGCACGGAGGAGACCGAGATGAAGAAGATCGTGGATGAGCGCAGGCGCGAGAAGGAGGAGGACAAGGAGGCCCGCGACCGGGTGCGTGCTCAAATCGAGGACGACAAGGCCGCCCGCAGGGCCAGAGAGGCTCCACAGATGCCCAGCAAGGAGCCTGCTCCCTCCGTCAGCTCTCCCAGCGGCGTCAAGTCGTCGCCGCGCGACTACACCGAGACCCGCATCCAAGTGCGTCTGCAGGACGGCTCCACCCTCACCGAGACCTTCGGCGTGAAGGAGCCGCTGTCGGCCGTGCGCGTGTTCATCCAAGCGAAGACCGGCATCGAGACGCCCTTCGCCCTGATGACCACATTCCCGCGCAGGCTCTACGCCGAGGAGGACTACGGGCAGCCGCTGGAGGTGCTCGGCCTGGTCCCCACCGCCGTCATCACCATGACCAAGGCGGCTGCGTGAAGAGGGCGCGCGCTATATTCCCCCCTCCCCCCGAAACACAACACTTGAACTACGATTTTATATTATATTAAAACTCTGACAGATCCACTGTAGAGGTGGAGCCTTAAAGTCCGCCTCTCTGTTGCTTCCAGAAAGGGTATTCAGAGTCCCACCCAACGCCTGGTCCTGGTTTTCCCATCTCTTGGCTCTCTTCCATCGTGCGTTTGCGTTTATTTATTTGCTTTTCCCCCATTGCCCTGGGGGGCGGAGGCAGAGCGAACTGGGCGTGGCCCCCGTCCCGTGGGGGGTCTGGGAGCAAATCGCTTTGTTTACGATCATTTTTCTTTTCAATTTGCGCTTGGATTTTCGTCCAAACTTTGCTTTTTGTTTGTTTGTCTTTGTCATTTGCATGGAAAACGGGTTTTGGCTTGGCTTTTTGTTGGTGCGAAACTTTTCCCAGAAACTTGTGGCTTGGAAAAATGTTGGGATGTTATTATCTAATTAATAGGTATTATTAGTGCTGCATACTTTGCGGTTGCTCGCGGAATCTCAAGTTTTTGCTTTAAAAATGTATGCTTGACATTTCTTTTCTTTTTTTTTGCTTTGGCTTTTGATTTTTTCTGTTTGTCAACGTCGCAGTTTTTTTTCTATGGCGACGTGACCAACGCCACCTTCGACACTTGAGAGCGCGGATCGGGAGCTTTGACTGAGAGCCGAAGCTTTGATGCCCTTCCATCACTCAATCACACATACATTTATACTTTAGGCCGATTCACTCACAGACGAATGTTTGATGCTTATTCTGTAGGTGTTTTGGAGACGCCGCCTTATCTGCATCAAAATAAGAATACCCTTTGCTAGGGTGCAGCCGTAAACAGCCGTTGTTGTAACTGGTTTTTCTCTGTGCCTTTGTCTTGCTCTTTGACTTTGCCTGCTGTACCGCTCTCTCACCTCGCGCACAGAGTCGCTTCTTTCTCTCTTAGCTAATCATCATCGTGATCATCATTATGCTTATCTTCGCTCATCATGATCATCTTCGTCGAGGTGGCGTCGGCAGAGACATTAGCGGCGATTATCAGTGGGAAGCCACAACAACACAAGCGCGCGCTTCAGTTGTTCGCTCTCCCTCTCTCTCTCTTTCTCTCAATCTCTGATTGTGTAAAGGTATATTTGAATAGAAGGTGCAGCTGTCTCGATCTGCACTGCTTATCTCCTACCGTATATGCATACGGCGCTCTCTCGGCCTGGCTCACCTGCTAATTGAATATACCTTTGTCTTCCCCCTCCCTCTAGCCCAGGGCCCACCAAGCCCCCTTTGTTTTAGTTTCTTTATTTTATGCTTATCAACAAAGTTGCGAGAGAGAGCTTGAGCTTGAGCTTCAGCTTCAGCCGACCGACCCACTTGACGTTTCGGCTCTCTCAACATTTGTTGTTTTTGGTTTTTTGTACCTTTGGCAGCGTTTTTGTTTACCTTTTTGCTTTAGTCGTTTCGATTTTCTTGACCATTTACGTTATTGAAATATTTTGTGGTGCGGCTGGCTATACGTTTGTTTTCTTCAACCTTTTGTTTCTCCGATTCTGATTTTCATTCTCATTCTCTCTCTCTCTCGCTCCGGCTTGAGCTCGCTTGGTTTTGTTTTTCGGTGCGTGCGTGTGCTACAGTTACCGTTCTTTCGGCTTTCTTTCTGTGTCTCTCGGTCTGCCTCTGTCTCTGCCTCTGTCTGTGCAATTGCATTTGTGCGGCCTGCTTTTTGCCACATGGCAAAGAGATCTGAAGTGTCAGCAGAGGCAGCAGCAGAAAAGCAGAGGCAGCAGCAGAAGGGCAGCATCGGCAGAACAAGAGCTTCGCTTCCCACTCAATTAATGCTGATCTAGCACGATGCGTTTTACACCGACGCTTCGACGCTTCGACGCTTCGACTCTTCGACCTTTCGAAAAATGTTAATATTCAGACTATTACGTTAGATTTTAAACGTAAATCAGTCGCTGTCGATCGTTTTATTAGGTAAAAACCTTCAAATAGTTGTATTTTAACAAAACGAACAAAAAGCGTGTGAGCGATAGGAAGTTTTTAGGACGTGTTCTACAAGTAGTTTATTGGAGTTTGCGTCGGTGAAGTGCTCCATTACTGCGATATTTATGTGAAAAACGTGCCGTGTTACAGAAAATAAAAGAATAAAGAAGAAACGGTTTTGGCACCCCATCCCATAGTAATTACAGATATTGTGTTTGTCTCCTGTGTAAATTAATGATTATAATTTGCTGCTCGCTCAACGTAAATGATTCGCCGTCGCCGTCGCAGTCGCGGTCGCTGTCGGCGTCAGCTTCGTCATAATTAACCCAAAGCTGGCAAACGCAAGTTCGTTGCTTAAGTCGTTCGATTGTGTGCGTGAGTGTGTGTGCAAGGTGTTAGCGTGTCAGTGTGTGTGGGGGGGACAGCCGCTGGCAGAAAATCCAATAATATTAGCAGAGAAATGCAACAGCACATCGATATTTGAATTCCCTTTTAGTAAAAGTTTTATTTTTCTCAGAGCCAGAGATTTTCCGTTTCCCCAAGATATGACGATAGATAAACTCGAAAGAGTAAGAAGCAATTTCGAATGGCACTCGACGGTCCTATAGCTCTTACTATTCGGAAGAATAGTGCCTCTTTCGCTGCGTTACAAACCTCGCAAAGACATTGTGATACCCTCTGGAAGGGCATACAAATAATAATAATAATGACAATCCCCCAAAGGCCCCCAACGCTCAATTACTCAATACTTAAAAATATCAAATTCGCGCTGCTTTTGTTTAGTGTCAAACTTAATTTCGTTTCGCTTTTTTGCGCCGTTTTCTGTCATTGTGACAGCAGTAGTGAAAGTCGTCGTTTATTTCTTAAGAAAATGCGGTTTCTTATGGTCGTTGTGGTGCCACCATGAAAATGGATTTGAGCCATGACAATGCCAATTCTTTGCTTGAGAAATACTCCTCCGGATCGCTGGGGTACGTTGGCTAATGAAATAACGACGGGATGTGGCCGAATCTGGCTCATCTTTGGGCTGGAATCAAGTTTTTGGATGATCCATAGATGACATAAGCAACAGAACAAGTTGCGGTATAATTAGAGATGATCATTGCCTCGGTGGAGGCTGAGTAAATCATTGTCCAGATGTTTCGAGCAAGTGCCTGCATACAGTACCATCCACAGGGGGTTACTCTAGGAATAGTTAAAGATTGATTCGGGATGCTGGAAAGTGGATTGTGAGATCGGATCTCACAGAATATCTCCAAGTACACTTTGGAATATTCAAATCTTTTTGCTTTAAGATCTTGTAGAAACCCTTCGGGTCTCCTTGTTACCTGTTAAAAGTATTAATATGGATTGTGGCTAAGTACTCTTTGAATAAACACATTTACCATCATGTATTTGCACCTGTTTTGGCTCCACATCTCGATTTCCCCTGTCATCTTTCTATATCTCCATCTCATCCGTAGATTATCCTTTAAATTTGGGATACCCTCTGTTAGAGTGTTTCCCCAATTCGTTGCTTGGATTTTTGACGCTTTTATTTCCTGTTTATTGTTATTGCCATTTCTTTGGGCCTGACCTTTACACATTTTCTGTTGTGTTACCCAATAGCCAATAAGTGTTTTGTTGTTTGCTTTGGCCATTTATTGGCATTTATTTGTGCCCGTTGGCCGTTCATTTTGGATACCCTTTGCGGAGAGCGGGTATAGAGGTTCCATGCCTTCGATCTGCCAGGGTATCCAAAGTATCCAAAGAGCATCTTCTTTTCTTGTTTGATTTCGTTTTGTGTAGTGTTTTTGCTGTACCGAACCGCACCGCACCGCTCCTACGCCTGCGCTTTGTAGCTGTGTGTCTTTCTGTCTCTTCTGTATTTCCGAGAGCGTTTCCACATTACTTTTATTGACATTTGGCAACAAGTTGGCAGCCGAGACGGCTCTGATGGAAACCAGTTTGCTGCCAGCTGTTCTGCCCCCGAGAGACGGATGGGTTAGTCATGGCCCACGGATATGGATGGGCCGCGACTGGCGCATCTTGAATTGGGAATGAGATTTGGCCGTAGAGTTGAATGATTTGCATGGGAACAGAAGGTGCAAACCGCGCACTAATGCCCCCGTTTGCTTGCCCTTTTCCAGTTGCCCCCATCAACGAGCCAGCCACGACACAGCCACTGCCGCAGCCGCACCCCCACTCACTGCCTCAGCAGCAGCAGCAGCAATCCCAGAAGAAGATCAGCAACAGCATCGCCAACGCCACCAGCCACCACATGACCACAACGAATTCGGTCAACGCCAGCAGCAGCAGCAGCAGCACGACGGTGAGCAGCAGCCAGCAGCGGGAACAGGTGCGGGAGCAGACCACCAACTCGACCACATCGAAGGTGTACATCAAGAAGACGGGCAGCAGCTCCCAGAGCAGCAGCTCCTCGGGCCGCAAGGAGAGCTTCGGGTCGCGCGACTCCCTCAACGACATCCTCAGCGAGACGGGCCTGCCCACCGGCAATGTGGCCGCCCAGCGCAAGTCCCTGGAGACCAAGAACCTCGACCTGAGCAAGCAGCCGGGCCAGCAGAAGAGCGCGGCCACCACGACGGCCCTCAGCAAGAGCATGGAGAGCCTCGATGAGAAGGTCAAGTCCCCACCACCGCCAGTGCTGAGCAAGAAGCCCAGTGTGCCGCTAAAGAAGACGCCCACAGGCGGAGTGCCAGTGGCAGGTGAGTAAACCCTTCGATACCCTCCACGGAAACCATTCTAACCTCTCCTCCTTCTTCTGTAGGGAACCTCTTGGGCGGCAAAAAGAAGAGCAACCCCGAGGGAAAGCTAACCAGCGCCGTGTCGCACGATCTGGCCGATGGTCTGGCAGCCAGCAAGCTGATCGCCGGACATCTGCCCGAGCAGGGAGTCGCCGGCAATCTGGTGATCCGGCGAGCGGCCACCATAGCCGGAGAGGATGTGGAATTCGACCTCGTGGAGCGCGCCTCGATCCTGCCAGATGTGCGGGCAGGGCGCGTGAAGGCGCCCAAGCGGAGACCGCCCTCGGCGGCCATCAATGTGCTGGGCGAGAGCAACAACAATTCGGTGTACGTGAACGGCAGCGGGATGGCCGGGACGGGCGGCAGTGCCAGCGAGCTGAGTGAGGACGGGGGCAGGCAGGCGGCCTCCTCCGACGACAACTCCACGGGCGAGGAGCAGCTGGCCAAGCCGAAGCCGCGCGAGTGGGAGAAGAAGAAGGCCCCGTGGATGGAGGAGCTGAAGGCCTCGCAGGTCACCCGCAAGAAGACCTCCCCGAGCGTGGAGCCGCGCGGCGCCTCCGTGGCCGAGCGCACCTCCAAGCTGTTCGCCGCTGAGCAGGTGGCAGCCAACTCTAGTGTGGTCTCCAGCAGTGCCACGAGTAGCAGCAACGGCAGTCAGCAGAGCAGCAGCACCACCACGAAAGTGCAGTCCTCGGCGGTGACGTCGTCCAGCCTCCTGCAGCAGTCGATGATCGTGGAGAGCAGCAGCCGGAAGGAGACGTCGGCCATCAGCAGCAGCAGCATCAGCTCTGTGGCCACCAGCACCGATGCAGCCATGTCCCGCAGCCTGTCGGCTGCCAAGGCGGCGGCCAGCGACGAGGAGACGCGAGCGCCACGCCCCAACAGTCTTTCCATAAGGAACCGCAGCGTCTCGCCGCTGGTCAAGACCTCCAATGCCACGCAGGTGCAGTCCCAGACGCAGGAGGAGAAGACAGCCACCACCAGCAGCAGCAACAGCAGCAGCACCACTGTTCAGCAGATAAACGCAAGTTCAGCCCCCGCCCAGCAGCTCAGCAATCACCAGGAGTCGGCGTCGGCGTCAGTGTCAGCGGCGCCGCCACGCGTGGCACAGCTCGAGCAGCGGGTGGACAAGCTGGAGGCCATGGTGCATACCCAGCAGCGGACCATCGAGGAGCTGGTGCGGACGCTGCGGGAGGAGACGGACCGCGTGAAGCTGCTGAGGAACGAGCTGGACAAATACGCCCAGTGCGTGACGCAAGTTTGAGCCTGTGTTTGAGCCGAACGTTGATTGTTGTGTTAGCTGCTCGTTTTAGCCCCCGCCCCAGACCCCCAGACCCCCAGCCAAACAGCCCACAGCCCCACAGCCCCCGTAGCAGATTTTAGTAGTTAAAATCGCATTTTAGCTAGCTTTAATCTATGATTTGTATCTATCTGTATGTCGTGCTGTCGGCTAGACGTTTGCGACCCGAACCTCTACATTCCAAGTGCGTAGAACGTAGTAGAACGAACCCAAGACAATCCACAATATCGTATAAAACTCTTGTACTCTGTACTTATCCCATGGTCCCATGGAAATGCCACAGAATCCACATCCACTCCACACTCTTGCATCTTCCGTCGATCCAAGCCAAGCCATTTTTGTGTTGATTTGTGCATGCGAGAAGACACGGCGCTACCATATCCATATCCCATGTATATCTGATAATTTCGATAAGTATTTTTTATATGCAATACATTCGTAATCCCAGAGGAACGAAGGAGGAGGCGAAAGAGCCGGTGCTGGTGCTGGTGGGCACTGTGTGATTTCTTTGATCGGAGCTGCTTTCAATTGCAATTTGTTTTGTTTATACGATTTATGATTATTTTACGATGTATTAAAGTTATGAGTAAACCACACTGTACTATAAACTATACTAAAAGAAAGAGAACTAGAGCGAGAAGAGAAGAGAAGAACTAGAGAGCGGAGAGATCGGAGAGCATAAGCATATGTCCAAGTGGAGATGATGCCTAAAACTTAAGCAATACCAATAAATAATGCAAATAAATATTATACATGTTTTCTGAATGTTCCGTTCTTATGATTTACTATACTCTACCCTACTCCCCTATCTTATAGATGTCATGTTAGAGAATCCACAACATATCTATCGTACATATATCTAACCCAGTCTCTCTCTCTCTCTCTCTGTGATCTATCTTTTCCATTTACGAAAACAGCAAGCAATCGCGTCGCGGGAAGTTCGACAATTGGATGTTCTAATTGATCGGAGGAGCAGCCACGCAACAGCTAGAGATCATCTCTAGTTGTGCAGACTACCATATGTTTTCCTTTCTTTTTGTGATAAGCCTCTCTCTCCCCCTCTGAGTATACCATTCAGCATTCAGCAATCAGCATTCAGCATTCAGCAATCTGTAGTCTAAACAAATCAATATCTCGGTACCGGAACCAATCCCCCCGATCGCCCATTTGTTAGCAAATATATGTCGCATTTTATATCGCTTAAACTGTAAATATTAATGTACATTGAATATGGCTTATAAAATAAACATTTACTTAGTAGTTTTTACTATTTTTAATTGAAAAACGTACGACTAAAATGCTATAATGATCCATCAGCCGAAGGATACCAGTCGTTCGAAAAGTATCTTATGAAATATTTTGCAATAAAGAAACAGAAAAACATAAGAAAACCGTCGAGATGTTCTACCATTATTTTGTTCTAGGCTTGTTATTAAAATTCGGTTTGTTAGCCAAAAAAGTTATATGAATCTAACTGAATTATATCTGCTACATGCTAACTACACAGATATGTATTTATACATGCATTTTGTCTAGTGTTGGTTAATATCGAATGCATATGAAGTGGCGCCATTTTCAATTATTCCCGTGGTTGTTGTCTTGGCTAAACGACTCACGAAACAAAATTATTTTGTTTAATTTAGTTAATCCTCCCCTTTCGATTTAAGGGCTACAAAATAAGTATTACTATTCCTTTGATGTTCAATTATGTGGTTTGTTATGTGGACTTCTGGGAGCTCTCGCAGCAAAATCTTTTGGTTTGAGCTGGCGCATCTAGATACATATCGTACATACTGTATATACTGTGTGGTTGGGGGCTAAGAAAAGCTCTGGTTTCCTTGGTTTCGGTCTCCACTGACGCGCACAGAGGCTCCGAGGCGGATCTGGTCAAAACAGCGATAGGAGACGGGTGGTGCTGCCAAGATTTGCTTTGGTCAAAAGGCAAGTGGACCTCAAGCTTGGCTTTGGGCCAACGCCAGCAATATGTGCGGATCTGCATGAACATACGAATACGAAGCGTACACGAAGTCAAAGAGAACCGCTTTTTTGTGGGCCATGTGCAGTCGTTCTGTTTCTGTTGGCCCGAAACCGAGTCTGGCTTTTACTGACGCTGTCGCCGTTGCTGTTGCCTTTCTGACGGGACGGGTCTACTCGTACGTTCTGTGCTGGCTGTGAGCCGAGCTTTTCTTGGCTGTGGCTTCTTGGGCGCTGCTGCTGCTGCTGCTGCTGGCCAGCACCAGCACTTATCAGCCCCTGATCGCTGTGGGAATTCAGTTAATTGTGGACGCTGTAGCCAAACGGACGCAAGACGCGGCGCACGAAACGTTCCCATTTCCACAGACAGCTTTCGACTCTGTTTCGCTGCTCGTGAAAGTACTTGGCCAAGACTCTGGGCCTGGCCCGAACACCACCCACTACCCACGACTCCTCCTTCTCCCGCGCCAGCTCCGGCTCCAGCGTCAGTTGCAGTTGCAGGCCAATTCGCGGAGCTAGCCAATAACACAGCTGAAAACTTATTTAAGGACCGTTCCAAAAGAGCCCCACCGAAAGTCCCCCACCAAAAGGATAGAGGAAAGGCACGACTACCACAGCCAGAGACAGTTTTCGACCAAGTCAGTTAAATAACAAGTTTTCAGAGTGTGTGTGCGCGTGCGTGTGTGCCTGTGCAGTAAACAATAATTAATTGAATAAAACAAACATTCCATAAACAAAAACCAAGTCCGTCTAAAGCTCGCGCGCCAATATTGCTCCAATTTAAATAAACAAAAGAGAAAAAAATCGGCTTAGCAACAAATGCATTGAACAATACACCGAACAGATCGTAAATATAGAAAGCTTAACAATCAATTCCAGCAACAATTACAAGAAGAAAAACAACAAACAGCAACAGCAACAACAACAGCAACGAGGGATTAAAACAGCAAGCAAAAACAGCCATAAATGTGGTGGGTGCATTATTGGTAAGCCTCGACGTCGGGTCGGGTTTTTTTTTTTGGACCAAGCAAAAACACACACACACACACACATACAGAGGGTAACAGAGTAACAGTTCCAGTAACAGTAACGGTTAATAATATGCCAGTCAGAGAGACGTATACGTATATATATATATGTATATGTATATATAGATCGCTTTGCTGCAAACGTCTAAAATTGGCCAAATCCAAAACGTTTTTATGCGCAAACGCGTTACCTTTTTTTTTCGCCCCTTAAATTTGTTCGGTTTTTCGTTTGTTTTTGCACTCGACGTGTTTTAATTTCGGTTTTTTTGCATTGCAAAATGCGATACTGCGAGTATTTCCATTCGAGAGAGTACCCTTGTAACGATTAGGGGGACTTGTGGACTCCTATAAATGGGAAATATATTCTTGATACATGTATGAATATCTCTTGATAATTTATAACCGCTATTTTGGAGTATCTACTTGTCTTTTCCTATATAATACTGTCTCCCCTATAAGACCAAACCTTTTTAAATAGATACCGGTACGATTGGTACGGTACGATGCCGATCTATTGAACGCATCTTAACTCTAAAAGAGATCGTATAACTTACAAAAGTACTTAAGACCGAAGAACGTGAGAAAAGTAGCAGACTTTTTGGAAGAAATTCTACAAAATCTTTACAGATTGTGCTGGATTATGTGGAGTTCTATTGAGATCGGAAATCTTCTATAGTAAGAAGGGCAGATACTGTGCCAACAAATTGGGTACCTCTTTAGATAATCCAAAAAAACATTAGAGGTTCTGGTTTCCTTCAAAATTTGTAAAAAATGGAGGTCCTACTTGTATATATCATGTATCTGAGATTCAAAAGATACATAGAGAAGCCTGAGGAAGAGAAACTGCCATAATTGCCATAATAAGTCACAGATCAGCCCATACACCCATTAATTTTGGCAAGGGTATCTCCTACTTCGACTTTATTTCTTCGATTGGCTTTGGCTTTGGCTTTGGTTTGTTGTGGCTGTGGGGCCAGCTCTTGGACTTCTTGCAACCCATTGGCCACAAAGTGGATTTGTCTTCAATTGTGGAAATCTGTATAAGGCTCAGGGGCGGGGCGGGGCAGGGGCAGGGGCAGGGACAGTGCGGTTGGTTGGCTGTTAAGCCACCAACTTGAGTCGGTTGCAGCTCCGAAAATATGTCGGCCAAAGAGCTTCAAGGTCATGGATGAAAGTGTGTCTGTCTGTCTGTCTGTCTGTGAATCAGAGTATTGGCATGCACAGACGGTGTTTCGGTGTTTCGGCGTTTCGGTATTTCGGTGGGTCTCAGATTGTTTTTGTACTTGTTTCCAGTTGGCAATCAAAAAAAAAAAGGTTTCAGAGCGTCTTTTGTCTAGGGCGAAGTCCCGATACCAATTTTTGATGTTGATGGACAGCCGTGGATTAATTTGTTTTCGGAGAGGCCCAAAAGAGAGATAAGTATCGCTCCCCTAGGAGATTGTTGCAATTGTCTTTTGTGTGTGTGTGTGTGTGTTTGATGGACAAATGGGGTTTTAATGGGGTCGAAATGGGGCTGGGGCGAGAGGGAGGGCCTTTTGATTTGGCATGCATCTTGGTAGTCTGTAATTTAGATCTCCCCCTCCTTATTAGGAATCTACTGTAGTAATTAACGGTTCGCTGTAATTGGGAGTTGATTTACCGACCTACTGTCCGGCCGGGCCCGGCCTGCCTGGCATTCAAATTAATTTCGGATTTGTTTTGTCCAATTGAAAGTCCAGTCCCCGCTGAATGCCAAGGAAAAGCCTCGGTAGTCCGGCCTCCAAGGGCATTGATTGGGTTTCTGTGAGTGAAGTGATGGAAAATGTATGTCAAAGCTTTATGATCGAGGTTTTATATGGAAAAATATGTAGAGATAGCTGAAGAATCTCTAGAAAGTAATCATTAGTAGGTGCTTCATGCCTTTTCGATAACAAACCCCATTTTTGTAGGCAGATTCCTTTGTTGGACGATGCCCGTCTTTGTGGTGACGAAACGCATTCCTGCACTCCCAAAAATAGACACCAGCACACGATTTAATGACTCTATCAATGTACGAATAATAATAAACGATTTATTATAATGTTTCCCCCGAAAACCCCTCGAAGTAATTGCAAGTCTCAATCAAACAAATGCTCCACTCATTGAGTGAAGTCCTCGCCTGTCGGCGGCCTCTGGCTTAACCCTTAATCAATCAAAAAGTCGTATCGATAATTTCTATAATCTGTAATCTCCTGACCACCGACATTCTGAGCCAGATTGCAAAAGTTCGAAGCGTTGCCAAACTCGTTCAGCGAATTTTTCAACAAAATTATTATTAAATGCTTAATTGCAGCAGCCGTGCGCTGAGCTTTGGCCAAAACAATTAAAGGCTGCAAAAATGTTAAATTAACAAATTATATGTTGGCCACTAAAAAACAAAGCAAAGTAAACGAAACGAAATGAAACGAAACGGTTGCAAAAACGCCTCAAACTCGTGCGACCTGCCAAAAGATACGAAGGAAAAACCAAAAACAAGTTGGGGATTGCACTATTTTCGGTGTTAGTCTTCGAGCAAGATGACAAATGGCTCAAATGGTGGCATAAAGAGCAGAGGCAGTGCAATAAACTCTGACAAATTCCATGGAAATATCAACAAAAACAGAAAACGCTCCAATTAGCGGACGCGTACCCTTCCAGGGGGTATTTCTCTTCGAAAGAGGGGTTGGCACAGCGTCGATTCTTTGGAGCAGTGGAGCTTCTGGAAGTGTATCTAAGTCTTCGGCTGGCAATTGTCACGATCTCCTTTCTGGTTTGTCTTTGCATTGACTTTGCCTCGACTTTGGAGTGGTGTCGATAACATAACGCATACGACGTGTGGCCTCTCCCTTCTTTTGCCTTTTCGGCTTTCGGTCTGTCCGTCCCTCAACTCGACTGAGGTCCGGTCCCCCCCCTCCCTCATGAGGAGTGTTAATGAATTGCAGTCTGTCCCAGGGGGGGCTGGGGGGAGTGGGAGGTGGATTGGAAATGAAAATGGAAATGTTTGACAATTTGTCACCGCGTCCAACACTTGTCTCGTCCGATACCGATTCCGCAGCCGATGCCAAAGCCGATGCCAATTGCGGGTGCGGGCCACGTTTGAGACCATTTGTTACACATTTTATTTCGTATTATTTGTCGCTTTTATACGAGTATCTTTTGTAGTGGACTCCCCCCCTGCCGCCACCCACCCCCATCGCATGCATTGTGTGTACTTAGTGGCAATTTATTTGCCATTACCTTTTGCTCTGTCCACTGTTCAGTGTTCACTTCTGGTTTTAAATCAAGTTTATTAACCGGAATCTGTCAGTGTACGACTACGACTACGGGTGCGAGTGCGAGTGGTGTCTGTGAGATCTATCTGTGTTCGCATTCAGGGCGTATCCATAACTATCGATTAGCATTCTAATTTATATACTAACTGCTGCCCCCCCCATCCCCAGAGAGTGTGGCACAAATTTAGCAACGCCAAGGGGCATGCACGAGTTTGTATTCGCATTCGGATTACAATTTCAAGACCAAGCTGCGGTCGATACTCTATCGAAGCAGGGAGTTGGGACTTCAAGGCCCCAAGTGGCAGAGTCTGGCAGATCTAGCGGATGATTCTGGTGGGAATTGAGAGGTTTATCCCCTGATTGTGTCAGCATTTTTTTAGGAAACCCTAATGAACCGAACCCCCAACCAAACGGCGGGTAATTATTGTTTAAACTTATAATTTGTTCATTAATTTCAATGAACTTCTTGAGACTGAAACTTGTTTCCTCTAAGAATAACTTGGAAGAGTATTCCTGCTACCAACATTTTTCTCGGCACTCTTTTGCTGCTGTTTTTGGCCTTAACCCAAGTGACGTCTACAGCCAATAGCTGCAGCCGAGAGATACATACATAGGTGTATCTAGAACTAGAACTAAACCGATTTCCAATTCCTATTCCAATTATGGGTGCAGCTGTAATTCAGAGACGTTTAGCTGGAGATTACGAATGTGGGAACAAAACCATGGACTCGTAACTCTTACTTTCATGAATGTAACGCAGAAGAGTCTACGGCGATGAACCAAGATGAACCCTGCCCAAAGAACCACAAAATCAGAAGAGGGAAGAAGGCCAGACACAAAAGAGTAGAATCAGCATAGAAGAGAGAACAAAATCCATTTGGAATATGGTATATGGTATATGGTATATTAAATGCCGGCTAGTACGTATACGAGTCGAGTCGAGGCGAGTCGAGTCGAGTATGGGAGGTGGTTCTCGCTGTCCAACTTTGGCTAATTAATGAGGCGTTCGTTCTCAGAGAACGAAACTTTCGTTTTTAATGAGATGCCTGCCGACTGCCTGCCTGCGTGCCATAAAAAATATTGTATTTGTTTTCCTTGCGAAATTCCTAAATAATTAAAGCCATTGAATGTGTTGGATAGGAAGGATGGGAGAGAGGGGATAGACGTTCCGAGACCGACACCGCATAGACCATGAGTAATTATATGGACTGTGAAGAAGGGGCTTGATAAGAACTAGAACTGGTTTCTGGTTGCTTTTTGCTCTGTCGTTTTGCCCTGTCTTTAGTTTTTGCTTTGTTTCAATATTTTATGGATTTGACTTTGGCTAGGATTTAATTACATGGTTTGTCTGTCTTTCGGTCCGTTTGTGTGGCGGAAATGCCTGAGAAATGTTAATTAAATTACGGATGGTAAGCGCCAACTCATCTTTATGGTAGAGTACCACGGAATACATGTACCCTCGAATACACTCGAATGCCCTAAAGGCATCCTCTTGACCTCTTCTCAAGCTGGTTTTCAGATGTGATTAGATGATCACTGGCAGACTGCTTTGATGGGTATCTGAATAGTCGCATTCTTGTCTCTACCGAGTACCTGCGGTTGCAGCAACTCCTCAATGGCATGCCAATTGTTGGCTACAAAAAGCTATCAAAATACTTGCCATTAATTATAAATATGTTGAAATTGCAACACAGACGATGCGATGGAGCATCTGTCTGGCACTGGCACTGGGGCTGTGACTGGTACTGTGACTCTGTGACTCTGCGCCTCTGTGACTGGGCCTGGGCTTGGCTCTTTTGTGGTGGCCACAGTCTGTGGCACAGTCAATCCGTGGATGGCTGCTGCTGCTGCCAACCTGTTGCCAATACAAGTTCAATGATTCTTTGTGGCTCTCTCTGCGGCTGCGAGAGGAGACTCTTCAAATAAGCTGCTGCTCTCGCAGCGATTTCTGGTGTGAAATGCACCTTGACATTTGGGCTGGATATTTCCCATTGATTAACGATTAACGATTGAACGCAATGGATCTGCTTTATTTGTTTATAAATTATTTATTATTTTGCAATTATAATGTGCTATGTGTGTGTGTGTTTGTGTGTGTGTCGAGTGTGGCAATGACTTTGATATTTGTTGGTCCGGTGGGAAACCTCTGCTCCGCTCTGTGCTCCGCTCTGTGCACTAATTGCCCGCTTCTTGTTCTCCTTAATTGCAGTCATTAACAAGCGCGGATCCCCCCATACACAGGCCATACACGGACCATGGTCCAGCAGCAGCTGCCCGGGGTGGCCAAATGAATCACGCTTGAGGAAAGTGCGCTCCATTAAGCACAACCACATCCATATCCCAGCGAGAACAAGAGACACCAGCGGCACTAAAACGCTTGATTAACTCCCCGTGGACGCGAGTGGAACAGGTGGACCGTGGACCGTGGACCATCGATTCCCCCCCTCCTGGAGCTGCCATGGCACACTTTTGCTGGTTCCTCAGACTGGGCTTTCTGCTGCTGGTAAGTGTCACATTAAGGCGGTAATTGCCGCTCATGAGGCCGCTAAATTATGGCCAGGTGCGAGCCGCAGTTCCCGGGAATCGGCTAACTTTCGGCCAGGCCCAAACTTAAGTTCAAGGCTTCTCTTCGCTTCTCAGATTAGCAATGTGTGCGGTTCCTAGCCCCAAGAAAAAACTAGTTTAAATCGCAGCCGAAATCCCTTCTAAGTCGGTCACCATCTGGCGGCAAAGGAGTGCTACTCAGCTGGCAATAGTTTTCGCTAGGAACTCCCAAGTAGTTCAGGCAATCGCTGATATGGAGAGTAGATTGATTTGAAGCTTTGATTGAAAGTCCCAAACAGGCATGGCATTGAAAGAACTTCGATAATCGAAATATCTTCCATTCAGACACTAGAAAAGAGGAAGAATACCCCTCTTCTTCTACTTTCGTGGTCGTTAAATCGCTAAAAACCATCCACAAAGTACCCCAATGAACTGATGGCCTCACTCATCATCATTTGGACGTCTTGTAACATTATATCATCCCAATCAAATCCATTTTTAGGTCGAACCACTTTTCTTTTTGTCACGGTTTTCCCTCTCTGCAGACCGGGAGAATGCACCTTTATGGCCCCTGACTTTCCCTCTCCGCAGAGCCCGGCCCAGCCCGCCAATTCCCAGGAACCCCCCCCTTAAATGCAGTTGCCAAATGCAAGTCCATTAACTTGGCCAATGCGTTTTGAAAAATAGTTTAATGGTGCGATCGCCAGCCACTTGTGTGTTGGCTTTTGCTTTGTTTAGACTCGGCTCGCTTTTATTGGCCCGAAAATCATCCATAACAGGGGGCTGGCGAATGCATTTGGAATTAATTTTTACCACACTCGATTGTGCCTGTGCGCCTGTCTGGCCCGCACTTTATTGACTGCTCATTAGACAAAGAGACCAACGGACCCGCGGACGGACGGACCCTCGTTGATTGTGAGTAATGTGGAGTGCGGACTGGAGCGCGGGGTGGAGTGTGGGGCAGGGTAAACGGAGGCTCGAATAAACTAAATAATTGCACGCGATTTGACTGCAGTTGCAAGTTATATGTGCAACGGAGCCGCGGCTCTGTGTCTCTTCTAGGGGTCTGGGCAGTCGGTCTCTGACGGCGGCTACGATTTGCAAATTGTGGACAGCGGGGTGTGTGGTGGGGCAGCGGGGTGTGGTGGCTCCTAGTGGCGCAACAACATTCTAAAGTGAACATTTCTTTCGAACATTAACCCACTGAGCTCCGAGCGGGGCGCATCTGAGCCCAAAGTCTCCTTCGTCAAGGTTCCTGGGCCCAACATGGGTTAATTTCCCACACAGATCTGTTTCTGTTTCAGTCTCTATTTCTGTCTCTCTGCCATGTAATTAATAAATGTGTGGTGCTCGGTACTTGTGCCCCAAACTGTTGCAGTTGCAGTTGCCGTTGATTTGGCTGACTCTGATTCTGCCTTTAGCTCGAATTCTGGCTGTGTCTGAGGCTCTGTCTGTGGCATTGAGCTTCGAGCACTGCCCTAATGTGGGCTGCACTTGGCTGGCAGATCGATAGCCAGATAGTTGTAGCCTGTAATGACACACAGGCCAACTACACTCGACAAAAAATATAAGAGAATGTTTAAACATTGAATCACCCCCGATCATTTCCAGGAAACAGAGAATAGATCCCTCGTGGAACCCATTTCCCAATCTTTTTGCGAGTGTATTGTGGTTTTTAAGCTTGCAACACGGCCACAATGCACAATGCACTCGCCACAGCTGACGACAGCGGGTGGTGAGCCAGTGAGCCATTGAGCCAGTGAGTGGCTGCTACCAAAAAGATTAGACCCCAACTGAAGCTGGGGCTGTAGCTGTATCTGTAGCCGTTTAGGACCCACTGACACATTCACTTGGCCACTGGCTTTGTGGTTTCTGCTGTGCGGTGGCGGTGGCGGTGGTGGTGGCGGTGGCTGGCTGCTCCTTTCAACGCCCACCGCTAGGGGCAGACACCACTCGAACCCGAAAATATGCACAATTTCAAGTATTACATTACTTTTTCCGCGTTCGATAGCTTCTCGCTGTGTGGTCTGAGTCACACTCAGTACGTACTACGTGCGAATCCTGTTCGGCCTTAGATCAATCATCTCATCTGTGTAGGAAATTTAATGGAAATGCTATAAAAATACTTCCGAAATTTGCATAAAACATTTGCTGAATCGAAAAACTGTCAACCGTGTCAGCCGCTCAGTGAATTGCGTTGTGTTGTGTTATGTCAAGCGTAAAAACTGAAATCACGATGATTGTGGCTAATTAAATTTGAGGTATCAAGTGGCAGCATCAGCACCAGCTCCACCCGCGGCACTTGAAAGCCAATCGTGTGGTGTGGTGTGTGCTGCCAACTGCCAAATGATCTTAAATAAAAAGAGTGCTCATTAAGGCGTGATTATTGGTTAATTGTTAGGCCAACAATCGGAGTCGACCGAAGGCGGATATATCCCATTGATTCGGAGCGCCTGTTCTGGTCTTCTGTTCTTCTATTCTGGACTGAAAATATCTTTTCTGACACTTCCGCTAAGTTGACAGCCGTGAAAATTGTCGCCGCTGTTGTGGCAATTGTGATTGGTGCAACAATCGAATGATAAATCGACAAAAATCGCCAGTGTAAAGTGCAAAAGAATGTCCAACAGGATTAGCGGGCTGATCAGCCCCTGCTGATAAGTCCCCCACTGATAAATCAATCAAGATTAATAACTGCCTATCATGCGGTGGTATCATTGGAGTGATTGGAGTGGTACAGCGGCAGGCACAGGTCTCTCGTTTCATTCATTCATTAAACTGGAGCACGTCACTGACCAGTCGGTTCAAGTAACCCCGGGGAGACAATGGAAAGGAATTCGCATTGTCCACATGCGTTTTTGTCGATCGTTTGGGAGTACGAGGGTATTTTTAGAACGTTTTTTCTTTTGTTTTAGGGCGTTACGCAAAGATACAGATATGCGTGCGGCCACAAAGCCCTTTTGTAATCACAAACTGGGCACAGAGCGGGCTTTTGGTGTCAATGCTAAACGCTCACCGCCCGCGGTCGAGTACTTCTGCAATTTTAGACATAAAAGGCGAGGCGACCGACCCGCTGGAGACTGGCTGGTGACTGGTGACTAACCCCCACAGTGGTGCGGATCGGTCAGATACTTACCTCTCTGACTGTGTAATTTTAGCACATGTGCGAAGGTGTTTGCTAGAGCGACTGTCGACTGCCAGCGATATGATCTAGAAAATGCCCGGCGACAGGCGCCCACTTTTTGCTGGATCCCCACTGCCGGATGTGGTTATTGTTCTTGTTCATGAAGTATAAACCTTATACTATATGCACAAACGTTTATTGAATAATTATGCTATTTTTTTCGGATCAATTTCCATTAATATTTGATTAAATTTGCGCGCCTTTCCATTCGAAATCGATTTTTCTTGCGGAGCTGCAAACGATTTGTCCGCCTGCAATTAGCATTGCTAATGCCAGATAATCGCGAGATGGATTTAAATAGCCATAAATATGTTTTATGCGACTGTCCGATCCGATCCGATCTGATCTGATTTCCTTTGGCAGGGCAAGTTCGTGCCCTAAGTCTTTTGTTTTTTCCACTGGAAGTGGCGGTGGAATGGCGGGGGTGGGTGTGGGGGCGGCTGATAACAATTTATTGCCAATCTCTGGCCATGAAATATACTGCATTATTACTGCATTTGCTTAGAGGGAGACTGTCCAACTGCGAAGCTGTTGAAATCTAAAGGAAAAGGCGCACATTCGAACACCGTTAAGTGATTTATCAATGTTAAGATAAGTTTTGCGATTGTTTATGCTGTATAGTTCTCTGAGCAAAGATTACTCATGCCAGGCAGGATCCCTGTAGGCCAGAGAATGCAACCTGATCTGGCAGACCTTTCCCGAGCCGAAGCTGGGTCTTTCCCTGCCCCAACTCCAAGCGAAATTGATATATGATCAGCTGAAAGATGAGTCAGAGAAATGCCTGGGGAAAAAACAACCCCCAGAGGAATGCCTTGCTGACTGGAAATGACATATTGACCAGCCGACAGGCGAGCAGTAATAGCTGTAGTAATGTTGCTCCATTTTCCACTTAACCGATTTCCACTCCACTCCAGTCCAGTCCGATCCGATCCGATCGAATGCTATGCAAAGTGTTTGCAATCCCATAAGCATTGTGTGTGTTTTCGCTACCTTGCGCCACCCACTTGCAACGCGGCGGCAGCGGCGGCGGCGGTTAATTATGCCACACAGTCGCACCATTTGACTAGGGAGCAACATGCACCACTTCAAACAGAGCACCGCTACGCTGCACCATATCCACAGCCACATCCACATCGCATCGCGGGGCCCAGCATTCCGCTGATGTCTTAATAGACCTCTCGGCACATTATTATTCAAATGTCCATTGCATGACTTGTGCATATCTGTATATCTGTATATCTGTTTATCTGTATATCGGAGCATATGTCTATAGATCGCGCGTCGATCGATCCGAATGATATTTTAATTACGCAAATTTATAAATAGATCGCTGAGATAAGCAACAGCCAATGCGATCACATCGATCGGATCGATCTGATTTGCATAAAAGATCAATCGAGGAATATGTCGAGCATAACTAATGCTTTCCCTCTTCCCCGGCTCTCCCTCATTCCGTTACAGATGCTGTCCGGCTGCCGGACACGTCCCACGGGGCGGCAGAGTGAGCTCATCGCCGGCAATGAGTTCCTCAAGCTGTTCCTGGACCACGACGAGCAGCAGCGCAGCCTGCACAGCAGCGAGCAGGAGTTCGAGGGCCGGGCGGAGACCCACCGCCAGCGAACGGCCAGCGGCAGGAGCCTGGAGCACAGGACACGCTTCAGGAACACGCTCGCCAACAGCAAGGATCACGAGGCTCGGGCGGAGAGAGGGGAGGTCGTGAAGCTGGTGACCAGCGGCAGCAAGATCGTCTTCCTCGAGGACGAGCCCCGCTCCAGCAAGTCCAAGACGAGCAGCGACGAGGTCAAGGTCGTGGCCGTCAGCGTGAGCTCATCCAGCAAACGGGGTCCCAGTCCCCGCGCCCGCCCCCGCCCCAGCACGAGTTCCAGCTCCACGACTGCCGCGACTGCCAGCGGCTCGGGGTCGGACTTTGTGAATCGCTCGCACAAGAGCGAGCTCTCCATCGAGGAGACAGAGCCCCGACTCGCGCCCGACGCCATGGAGGGGGACAGCGACTCTCTGAACAGCGCCTCCAACATACAGAGCGTCTTGGCGGCACCAGCACTAGCCGGCACCTTCCCGCGGGGAAGCAACCGAAGCGAGGAGGTAGCCGTCACCCATGAGGCGGTCGAGGGCGAGGACAAGCTGCTGCCGTTCCAGACGGTGATCTATCACGACTCCAAGCAGGGTCGCGGGCCGCAGTCAAGATCAATATCGTACAGCTCCATATCGCAGAACGTGGACGATCTGCAGGCCTGGCAGCAGTCCACCCGCGGCGGCATCCTGGCCGAGGCCCAGAGGAATGTCAGCGAGAGCCTGAAGCCCATTCCCAGGCCCGGACACGGCCACCCTTCGTCCTCGGAGCCGGCCAAGTTCTACTCCGTGCCCTCGAAGATGTACAGTGTGCCGAGCAAGTTCTACTCGGAGCCATCCAAAGTCTACTCCGAGCCCTCCAAGATGTACGGACAGCCGGAGAAGGTCTACTCGGAGCCCTCGAAGGTGTACGGCCAGCCCTCGAAGTTCTACTCGCAGCCGGCCAAGGTGTATGGGGAGCCCGCCAAGGTGTACGGAGAGCCGGCGAAGACCTACTGGCCCCAGACGGTGACCACCTCCACCGTCACTCCTGGCCCCGTGCCCTCGTCCACTTTGGACTACAGCTCCAGTCCGACGAAGGCGCCTGGAACTAGTACGACTCCCATGCCCATAACTGTGCCGCCGGGGGCTGCCCCCAGCACCTTTGTGCCCTCACGTTCCCGGCCGCGACCTGCAATTGTCTCTCGCATCGCCTTCGGCGAGGCTCAGAGCACAAGCACCAGCACCACAACAGCAGCCACAGCTCCGCCAGCACTGCCAGCCACCACATCAGCCCCGGCCATCGCCAAGCAGCCAGAGTCCAGCACATCTACCCCCGTCAGACCAACCACTTGGCAGCACCATTATCACAGCTACAACCATCAGCAGCAGCATCATCCGCAGCACCACCACCCGACCGCCTCGCCGCCGCGTCGAGTACTCTTCAATTTGGATAAATTGCCTTATGATTTATTGAATGCACCACAGCCGCAGCATCAGCAGTCGCCCCACCATCTACTGGATCCCAGTCCGAGCCACTTCCAACAGCCGCAGCCACAGCCACAGCCACAGCCACAGCAGCGTCCATGTTGGGAGCAACGTCAGCATTCATCACTGCCGCATCAACATTCTAATCAAAATGCCAAAGGATTGCCCAATAGAGGTGAGTCGCAAAGAGTCTCAGTTTTGAGTCGCGGAGTTTGGTCTGAAGACAAATTACACTGTTTAACAAAGTTCAGAATGCATTTGCATAAATTAAAGAGAGTGGCGCTTTTTGAAGATAGTTTAAGGGAAACTTAATTAGAGTCAAAGGGGGATCGAAATTGGAAGTATGCTTGATAGTATTTCTATATCGTAGATCAGTCACATTCTACAGCTGATACACTCAGAGAAAACTGGCAAACAGCTTGCGATTTCTGAATGATTTGCATATAAATATATTTATTTGAAATATGAAATAGATTTGGATACAAAATTAATGTCAAGATGTAACTGAAAACACCCTCAGTGCGAATCCTAGGTGTAACTATTCGATACTCTGGGTGTATATAACACGATAATCCAGTCGAGTATTCGCCCAGAAAACTACTGAAGGAATGTGGCACAATCGTCATAGGTATTCTTGAACTTTGTTAATCAGTGCAGCTTTGAGTTGCAACGACAACGCACCATGAAACCCATGCTAACCCCCCTTCTGGAGGGGCAACTAATCTTGAACTTATCAGACATCATCTTTGTTGCTCCTCCCCCAACATAAACCTCTCTTTATCGCTCTCCCTGTCTCCCTTCCTCCCGCAGATCTAGTCAAATGTATTTCCAAATTTGCACACCAACATGGAGCATCATCATCGTCATCAGGGGCACCATCATCGTCATCGGGGGCTTCGTCAGGGGCGGCCGGCTATTCGTACAGCTCCAGCTCGACAAGCTCCTCGTCGTCGTCTTCGTCGTCCTCCTCTCTGGGGCGGCCCCGCGACTCCATCAACATGCCGCAACATCACCACTTTACCACCGAACGCCCCGAGCAGTACACCCCGACCTCAGAGCAGAATTACGAAATTGAAGAGTCCGTAAGTGTTATGACAAACGGACGAGCCCACGGACCGCAGGGCCAGGGCGGCGGGGCAGCGGCTCTGGCCACAGTCACATCTGCAGAGACTGCCACACCACCAGCTGCCACAACCACAGCCAGCAGCGCGGCGGCAGGGGCAACCACTGCAACCAGTGGTCGCGGCCGAGGCATAGACAGGGGACGTGGTTCGGTGGTGTACAACGCCGACGCAAATGCCAACCACGACTACGACGCTGGCCAAGACGACGACGGAGGGGAGGTCGGCGATGAATCTGGCGAAGATGCAGATGGAAATGCAGACCGCGGCAGAGAGGGGGCTGGGGCTGGGGCCGGGGCCGGCAACGAGGAGGAGGACAAAGTCGCCTATGTGGTGGAGGGACGCAACTATCGCAAGTATCGGGTGGAGGAGAAGACCGACGACGGCTTCATTGTCGGGGAGTACGGAGTGGTGGACCACAACGACGGCAACCTGTGGGGCGTGCGCTATACCGCCGATTCGACCATTAACCGCAGCCTGATCCAGAAGGCACTGCTGGCATTTCTCAAGCTCAAGTGAGAGCACCTCCTCCTCCTCGTCGCCGTCCTACTCTTGCCGATACCACTACACCACAACAGCTGCAAAGCGGCATTCCACATGTGATCCAAGTCGTATTGTAGTTAGCGCGTAGATTAGCCTAAATAGATACACTAGATATAGTAGATACTTAGACTCGTAGATGTGTCCAGCCGCTGGCCAGACGATGTCGATTCCCACGAGATCAGGAGCACACTCGCACTACTCCTCCTCCCCCACACCGCCCCACCCCCCACTGAGTGTGTGTCTTGAGTGTGTGTGTAGTCAGTAAACGAATTTGTTTAATGTTTAGTTAATGTTTTAATTAATTTATTGTAGTTGTTGGTATTGTAATTGTAACCGTAACTCCTAATTTATTCAGTTAACCAGCCACGAAATTACAGACCTAGCAACTCTTGCCATACAGAACGCGTACACCCGCGAGTACGTACCATTCCGCACCCTGCAACTAGAAGAGCCCTAAGCGCCAACGAAAACTATCCTAATTAGACCCTAAGAGACCCCTTGAATAGTGAAATAAAAGCCTAAATTACACCGAGAGAGTGATTCAGATACAGATTCAGATTCAGATGCAGATACAGATACAGAATGGTGGGGTGTGCATTAATCTCGCTGCGGGTGGGGAAGCGGAAAACAGAAAACGGAGCAGGATCTTCTCTAGTCTCCACTCCTACCTCTCTTAAAGGTAAATGCCACTTAAAATTGATTAAAAACATGCTGCCAGCGGCCAGAAAGCGCTTCCCGGGACAATATCATTAAAATTTAATTGATATGAACAAGTGACAAAGCAGCATCAGTAAACACAGGGCCAGGAGGTCGTGGAGGAGCAGGAGTCGACGCATAAGGTACCCAGGAACTGAAGATATGAAGATATCTCTAAGAACCTCTAGTGTTGGGATCTTTATGAATTCCAAAGTAGCTCAAGTAGCACCAGAATCCTTCGAATTGAGCGATCTGTAATCTAGTATATAGTGCCTACAGTCATCATCTACAGATACAGTTCCAGATTCAGGCCCAAAATACACAAATCAAGTTTGGATAATCCGAATAGCGAGTACTCAGGTCCCTTTCCTTTCCTTTTCTGATCCGATCTGATCCGATACCCTGGCTTAGGAGACCCCTGCATGGCAAATCGAAATCGCTTTCAGCTTTATGGTTTTGTCAAGTGAAACGCGGAAGCCGATAACTGGAATCGCGGCCATTCAGGCATCAGGGCATCAGACATCAGGGCATCAGGCAAAAGGCATCCGCAATCGGTATCGGTGCGCCCTCGGTCGAGCGAACAGTTGACAAAGTCAAGGCGGCCATTGAGGGAGTTTTATAGACACATTTGGCCAATTAAGAGCAGCAATTCCATAAATGACCAACAGCTGGCAGTGGTTTACTGATCTGCCCCAATCTCCTCCTTGCGGCCACCACTGAAAGCGAGCCCCATAAATGCGAAATGCGAATCAACTGGAACTTGACTGAGGCTGGGACTGGGACTGAGACTGAGAGGTAAGACCTTCGAAGGTCGCTGAACGACCTTGCTTGCGGTCGCCGGTGCCTCCTCGATCCGTCTTTGGCGTCTGCGTGTCGTCATTTGGATGGGATTTTATTGCTCCTCGGGGAGATGGGCCCCAGACCGAGAGCCTGCAAAATTTCCACTAATGATTGCATGCGCCAGTGCCGGTGTCAGTGCCGGTCCTGTCTCCATTTCTGGCTTCGTCTCGGACTGTGGCTGGGGCAGTGGCTATTTATAAATATGTAAGACAATCGGGGGCCAGGTGAGTGTAGAAGTTCAAGCTTTGGTATGCTGCTGTCTTATCGCAAACCGGCAATCAGCCCCAACCCCTGACTCCAACTCCTACTCCTACTCCGACTCCTACTCTGATTCTGATTTTTACTGGGACTTGGCAGCATCGTCGACGCGATCTGCGTGAAGAAATACAACACAAGACCATAAAACAAGAAAGGAATGCCAGTTTCGGTAACAGAACTTTAGATACACTAGCAGAAGCTATAGGATATAGTCGTCCGCGACAAGAAGATTATGGTAAGGATCTGCCGAGGTTTATATTACTTGCAGAAGGCTTTGCAGAGAATGTATACCCTTTCTGCATCCCAAACGTCTGATCAAAGTCCATAACACCCCCTCTGCAAGAGTATAAAAAGAGAATGTTCCTGGTTCTGGGTCTGGTCTCAGATTTAATGCGAAATGCCAGAGCCAGTGCCAGTGCCAGAGCCCCTGAGACAGAGAGATAATGCTGCTGGGGCTCTGGAGGAGACCGAGACCGAGACCGGGCCGTGCCCTTTCTGCGGTCAGCTGCCTGATGGACATCTCCGAAGAAGGAACTGAAACTGGTTATACCGTTGCGGGGCTTAAGTGAGGCAATTATGAGGCACAACAGAACTGTTTTCTGGTCAGCTCCGAGTTCGAGAAAGTGTCTAAAGCATGATGAATGCCAAGTAAACATGTTGCCCGATTTATTTCCATCTCGCAGTCGGATCTCCTCCGGCTTCGGGGGCGTAGAGGCTGTGCGTGTCGACAATAAATTTGAAAACTACACGATTGCCCCTGCCTGACAGGTTGAACGTCGGCACGCCCTTACGCCCTCCCAACGTCCTCCTTAGTGGCTTTTTAATGCGATGGGCGTGCCGCTAGAATGGCCGTTCTGACAGCTGTGAGGAGGCTTCATTAAATGCTGCCCCATCTTCATCTCAAGTCCCAGTCCCTAGTCCCCATCCCCCGTCCCGAAACACAGCATCCGCATCCATATCCATTCAGGCTGCAGCTTCCTTTTACTTTTGCCTTCAGCTCCAACTAAATTGCTCTCCCATTGATCTGGCTTACAAGAATTTGCACTTTTATCTAGCCCCTGTCCATGTCCATGCCACTGTCCATGTCCGAGTCGGAGTCCTGCTGGCCTCGTTAGTTAATTATTCCTGCTCTGAGGCTCTCTGCAAGTACTCGGACTCCTTAATGAAGTATGCACGAAGCAGGTACTCGTATCTTTCCACTATTCACGATCCATTTTATTCAATATTCCAGTCTGGTGGATGATCGATCGCGGATTGCAAATTTATGACATGGCATTATAATTGACCGATTTGTCATTATAATTAGCGTACACACACCGCCGAAGCGGACATTCTGTGTGCATCGGAGCCTAATTTATGCATATTGTTGAGATTATTTTTAGAGGGGACAATGCAACAATACCACAAAAGAAACAATGTTGCAGCAACCTGAAAGGAAGGCAAGGGATTTTATGGGAGGATACAGAAACCAATTTATTATAAGCATCTTTAGATCGAAAATAATATGCGTATAATTGAGAGAATTAATTGGATAGAAATACTCGTCCGTATTAATATAGATACCGAGATGCATTCAAAAGGATATACAGATTGATGATATATGTGAATATAGATCGATTATAGATAAAGACATGCACAGATAAAGGGAGCCGGAAACTCGAATAGATAGATACATATACCCAAGTATAGATTAAAGATGCGTTGAAGGATGGTTAGACACGGACTGATTGATTAGAAATCGTATCAAAAGTTTTTTGGATTGAGGAAAAATGGATGTCTGTATTGTGGCGCCATCTGTGTCTTGTGAGTTTACTCGTGGATAAATTTCTTAGCAGCCATAAAGTATGCTACACTTTTTGGTGTTTCTCTTGAGCCCAACTGCACTACGACCGCACAGTAAAAACTGGACAGCGTGAACTCTTTTTGTGAATTCTGATCAAATTCTATATAAATTACACAGGGAGGAACAAATTACTCGTGCCTCCCACCCGAAGCGGCATCATTCCTATGCCTCTTGACTTCGATGGCAAACCCTTGCCATATAATTCGTGAATCTATTACAATGTCTTGAATCCAAAATCAATATTTATGTGGAAATGAAGGCTAGCAAAAAACGCCCACAAGAAAATGGAACACCGGAAAGAGAGATTAAAGAAAATTACCAAAAGTCATGAATCAAGCTGAAAAGTTAATGCAACAAAAAGAGTACTCGGCCAGTCAAACAATGAATAATGCAAAATCATTGCACTGCCCATTCGGCAGTGCAGTGCAGATCCTTGCACATATGCCAGATATCCTGGTATGTCCTGGTCTGTGTCTGGCATATGAATTTGGAGCACAACTAATTGTCTGCCGGCAATTAACAGGAAAAATATATATTCAAAAACTCAACACTTTACTAATCTGCAAGTGTCAAGCGGAGGACATTGGCAAATGGCGATGACAATGAGGGAGGAGAGTCCTGGCCAAAGGAGTTGACAGGCAGACATACAGGCACGGGCAGGGGCAGAGGCAGGGTTGAAGTGTGCGTTCTGAGTAAAAAACGCGGCAGGCCAGCACCAGCACCAGCACCGGCACAATCAGAATTCACCCGAAACTGAAAAGGGGAAGGACGCCATATCCACAAAGGGGTTGTTGCTGCTTGCCACTGACTCAGACGGAGACGAATGCCAGGACAGGGACAGGGACAGGGACGGGGACAGCGAGAGAGACCCAGTCTCAGACGACAACAGGTCTCTACAAAGGACTACCTCTACCTTTTCGCATAATGAAATATAAGTACCGCACGGTGCTCCTTTAACGTCTGATATCAAAGGACATTCGATCGGGCATGCAACATGCGCTCATTGTCCCCGCGCTTCTTGTTGTCAGTCTCTTAAGCGTTTCTCGTATTTATGCCAAAGATTACATGTTGATCTCGCATATCTTTCATCTTGACGGACCCATCCCCCATCCCATTCCAGCGCGGTTTTGGGACTCTGTCCCTGAATCTCCTGGAATCTGCTGTGCGTGCTTCCCACGTCGCTGTCATTCGATATGCGATATGAAAACGAAATCAAAATGCCGTCAGTCAGTAGCCCAGTCATGGCTCTGCATTAATTGGACGACAGCGAAATTATTCAACTTTCACATTAATTCATGGAGAGAGTTGAAGAGTCTATATCTTCCATGGAAATCAGATGGAAATCTTCGCCCGTTGACAACTTGCCCGCTTCTCTGGTAGTCCATTGTGGGACGCTCTCTGCAACTCCAATCTCCTTCTCCTTCTATAGATGATATCGATAAGCTATGCCCAGGATTGCCCCTTTTCTGCTACCTCCAGTTAGCGGCCCTGATGAGGGTTCTATCCCATTGATAGTTCCTGTTAATAATTGAAACAAAGAGCATATTGCGCATGCCAGATTGATCGCCCACTTGTTGGCTGTTGGCCCCCGAAAAGGCCAAAGAAAATTTCAGTTGGAAA